GGAAATACCATCGCCGCCGGCGAACTTGCGCGAGCGGGCGGAATTATTATTATTACGTCATTTTCCACATATCCGGTGGCCTCGGATGCAGCCGCCATTTCCGGACTTCGATGGGCCTCTAAGGCCGCCGCGCCAAATACAACGGCTTGCGTCGCCACTGCCACCGCCGCCGCCGCCTCCTCCGCCGGAGGAATAATTTTTTTATTTTTAATTTTTATTTTTTTTTATTTATTTATTTTTTGTATTTTTTCCTTTAAACATAACAAAAAATATATAGTATCATTTAAAACATATATTATTTCTCCAATTTTATTTCACCCGTCTTCCACCTTATCTCCTCGCATAATACTAAGATTCGACGTTTCAAAAAAACAATATATTCTTCTATTGTAACAATATAGTATCATTTAAAACATATATTATTTCTCCAATTTTATTTACCCGTCTTCCACATTCTCTCCTCGCATAAATCTAAGGCTGGACCGTCGATTTAATTTATATTTTAATCCGTTGGACGCAGCGTGTCGCGAACACGATATTGCATATTCGCGTAGCAACGACTTCGGCGAAAGGCACGCAGCAGATAACGTACTCGCTGACAAAGCGCGAAAACGCATCGTTGCGCGAGACTCGACTCTGGATGAAAGAGGAGCTGCAATTTTTCGAGTAAATTTTCGCATTTAGTATACAGTATGAAACTTTTTATTTCTTGTGTTTCGTAATGATATTAACCATTTTCTATAACGCGTTTGCAAGAGTTTGACCAAACCTAACCACAGTGAACTATAAAAATCTGAATTTATACGAGTACTAGAATAATAAATAGAAAGAATAGATTTACGAGCCGAATGATGTGTTGTTTTTTTTTCGCTAGCTGTAAATATTTTCTTAGGAGAACATTATGTAATTCTTTTTTTTTAGATCTCATCAAACGTACCGAGAACGCCGAAAAGACAATAAAAAAATGCCTGTGGGTGTTGAAAAAAATTTTCGGGGGTCATCCCCTCCCTCGGTTCGGTATGAAAAGTTTTCGGGGATCATTCCCCCCCTCTTAAAAAATTTCCGACGGCGGGCCAGGTCTGGAGAGGTCTCCGCGGCGGCTCGGCCTGGACTAATCCCCTGACATCCCCCACTCCGCGGCTCGTGTGCGCGCAACCACTCTTCCACTCCCCACAGGCCCCGCGCCTAAAGTTCTCCGCGCCGCACTCCCCCGCGCGCCCTCACTTCCCCTCGCCGCACGCTCCCCTCATTGCCCCATGGGTTAGAATCCCCATAGCTATACTACTTAACTATGCAAACTAACTAACTAACTGCAAACTAACTAACTAACTGACAAACTAACTAACTAACTGCAAACTAACTAACTAACTGCAAACTAACTAACTAACTGCAAACTAACTAACTAACTGCAAACTAACTAACTACTGCAAACTAACTAACTAACTGCAAACTAACTAACTAACTGACAAACTAACTAACTAACTGCAAACTAACTAACTAACTGCAAACTAACTAACTAACTGACAAACTAACTAACTAACTGACAAACTAACTATACTGCAAACTAACTAACTAACTGACAAACTAACTAACTAACTGACAAACTAACTAACTAACTAACTGCAAACTAACTAACTAACTGCAAACTAACTAACTAACTGACAAACTAACTAACTAACTGACAAACTAACTAACTAACTGCAAACTAACTAACTAAATACTAACTAACTAACTGACAATCTAACTATCTAACTGACAAACTAACTAACTAACTGCAAACTAACTAACTAACTGCAAAACTAACTAACTAACTGACAAACTAACTAACTAACTGCAAACTAACTAACTAACTGCAAACTAACTAACTAACTGCAAACTAACTAACTAACTGAGCAAACTAACTAACTAACTAACTGCAATCAAGCAAACTAACTGCAAACTAACAAACTATCTGACTAACTAACTAACTAACTAACTGGCAATCAAGCAAACTAACTGCAAACTAACGCGCATATCCCCACCCTGGGCCGCGGACCGAGCTCCGTCGCGGATAAAGCTCCACGCCCGGCAATGCCACGCACGACCGCTAGGTGGCCGCGCCCTCGAGCAACCGCGCTCCGCGAGATATGATTAATTCGCGGCCGCGGATTCGCGCAATCAATCTCGCGGAGCGCGAGTATAAGACGTGGGCCACCGGCCGGAATAGGCGGACTCGTGGCTAGCTCGCCGAAGCCACATCAAGTGACTAGAGATAAGTAGTACCAGCTACAAATCTGTGCAAGTCCCTATTTTTGCAAAACCGAGAGTGTGAGGGGCACTCTCGCGAACCGAACCTCCGTACCCACCTGTCAGTGGCGCCTTGTAGCGTCGACTATCCGCATCCCAGCATTCCTCCCCGGGCCCTACCATCAGCGCAAGCCCCGTGGTAGCGCCGGTAGGGTATTGCCTCCGCCCGCCCCCCTTCGGCCGTTCCCCATTACCCACCGCCTGTCAATGACGCCTTGTAGCGCCGACTAACCCGTTCCTAGTGTTCCTCCCCGGGCCCTACCATCAGTGCAAGCCCTGTGGTAGCGCCGGTACGGTATTGCACTCCTCCACCCAAGACCCCCCCTCGGCCGTTCATCAACACCCACCGCCTGTCAATGACGCCTTGTAGCGCCGACTAATCCATTCCTATTGTTCCTCCCCGGGCCCTACCATCAGCGCAAGCCCTGTGGTAGCGCCGAGCGCTCGCTACCGCCAACCGTTGCCGGACACCGCCGAGCACCGCCGACCGGTACCGAACCCCGCTCACCGCCGAGCACTGGCGACCGTTGCCGGACACCGCCGAGCGCCGCCGACAGGGACCGAACCCCGCTACCACCGATCGCTGCCGGACACCGCCGAGCACCGCCGACCGATACCGAACCCCGCTATCGCCGAACACCGCCGAGCGACCGACCGCACACCGCGTCTAGAAGCTAAGCATTGTCCGTCCACCGTTAGATTATAAGTTTCTGAATAAACAGTGTTACCGAACTCAAACGCTCTTACTCATTCGCGCCGATCCCTGGCTAGCCGACTGGGTCGGCAAAGCGCAACCTTCCTCCGAGTCCCCCGAACCGAACCGAATCGGACCGTCCGTGGGGGAACGGTCACCAATTGGCGCCCGAACAGGGACTCGACAGGAAGGGTGGACGAGTGACGGAGTACCGCGGATCAGCAGCCTGCGAAAAGCGAATCTGGTCTCACTAGCCCAGAAATGTTGACTTGAACCCGAAGGTACCCGCGACGACCTCCGCGATCGCCTGAAGGCGCACCTACGCAATATGGAGGCCAGCAATCACGTGCCCGAACCCGACGCATCGGGCGCCATCATAGGTCGGATTGGCCAGTGGAGAACTCACTATGACGGCGGCAAAGGAGCCGACGAATTCATGGAGCGGCTGCACGACCTCCTGATCAGCTATGGTGTTCGCCCCGAACAGATCCTGCCGCGCCTGTCCGAAACCTTCCGCGGTCAGGCACTCCAGTGGTACTGCTCCCAATGGGATAGCTGGCACAACTGGGGCGACTTCACCGCGGCATTCCAGCAATACTATCTGCCGGTCGCCTCCCGAATGGACCTGGCCGACGAAATCCAACGCCGGGTACAGCGCCCCTGCGAATCCGTCCGGGAATATGTCATGGCGCTGACGCACCTGATGTACCGCCACGGTGGTTATACGCTCAAGGACCAGTTGGACCGCCTCCACCGGAATCTGCTACCCGACTACCGGCTCTATGTACGCCGAGCAAGAACGACCGTAGCCACTTGGCTACCACCGCATCGGCCTACGATAGGGCCACCTGCTGCTGCAAATGTGGCCAGCGCGGCCACAGCCGCTACGAATGCCGCCGTGCTGGGCGTCTCTTCTGCTCATACTGCGGCACCGACGGCACTTCCACACGGGCCTGCCCTTGCCAAGCACCGCCGGGAAACGCCACCGGGCCCGGGACAAGGGGAGCCGCCCAACCAGCCCACCGACCGTCAACGACTCCCCGCCAGTAACCGCCGATCCGCGCCCATACGCCACCTTCAAGCTCGGGCGACACCGTTACCCCGCTCTGGTAGACACCGGGGCTACCCGATCATACCTCCGGAAGGACGTCGCCACCCTCGCTTGTAAACAAGGCGGCCGCCGAAGTACCATCCAAGTCCAAGCCCGCCTCGCCAACGGGTCCGTCGTCCCCACTACTGGGGAGATCACCGTTCGTGCCACCGTCGATGGCCGCAGCGTGAGTCACACCTACGCTGTCCTGCCAAAGCTAGCCCAGCCAGCAATCCTCGGCATGGACTTACTCGGCCAACTGGGACTCATCATCACCCTGGGCACTCGCCCGGGTCCGTTGTACCCCGAAGCCGCCGCCATGGACCACACCGGTCTCCGGGGAAGCACCTCGGCTCAAGACACTGCGCAACGGCACCTCCTGGAACAGGAGCTCCCGAAATTCGAAGCGCTCCCTCCAACCACTCACCTGACCGAACACCGCATCCGTCTGAAGACACCAGAACCGGTCAAACAACGCTATACGCCGCGGAACCCGGTGACGCAGGCCCTCATCGACCCCTCAGGGGCTGTGTCCGGCAATCGTCGGCCGCAGTACAGGGCGTAGCGACCCCGAGGTACCTGAAGCTAATCACACCGTAAGCCTCCTGTTGGTCGTCACAACGATCCACTCACAATTCCTTTTTTGGTTTTGTGAATGGTACGTGACGGCAGTAGAAGCGGGGGCCTTGGCTTAACCGCCTGGGCCAAGAGTATGGCGACTCTATAAAATCGCCCTCCAATCTTAAGCTATGGTGCGCGGCGATGGGATGCATGGTTGGGGGAGAAGGCCCAATCCCAAGCGACCACCTCCGGGGCACCTGCCGAACCCCCGGAGTATTAGGCTTACCCGGGTAAGGCGGCTCTGCCCGGGTGGACCTTTATTTCCGACCAACGCGTGGGAATTATATGGATTCACAAATTAAAACGGGGATGGGACGGGTTGTTTCGGTTGGGGAGGACGAAGACGGTGCTGGGGCTGGAGTGACGGTGCTCGCGCCTCACTCAGCGCCTGGCCAGGCTTCGTGGATGGTGGAGGAGGACGACGAGACTGCGTCAGTCTCGTCCTTCTCCTCCACGAGGAGCCACATAGGCTCCAAGAGGAAGCGGACGGGGCAGGCCGTCGACGGAGTGGACCGGGCGATGAACCCGGTCGTGATGGTGAGTTGCCTCAGGGACGAGGTAACCGAGGAGATATCCGAGAGGATCTCCTCGTCCCTGAAGCGGGTCGAGAAGGTTGCCGCAGCCTGCTCTCTAAAGGGGCAGAAAAGCAGCGTGGCTAGAGGCCCTGCGAGAGGCTGCGCAAAATATGGGGGAGGCGGCGCAGGAGTTGTGCGGGCGAAATGCCCGGCTGCAGCTCCAGGTGGAGGAGGAGCGACGGGGGAGGATGAGGGCAGAGGCGCGCTGGAACAGCGCAGCCCTCCCTCCTATCCTCCCTCCTCCTCCACCTCCACCACCACGACCCACGGTCGTGGAAAAAAAGCGGAGTGCGGCGGCGGTGTTGCGGGGACCTTCCACCCGCACTCCGCCTGCGCAGAGTTCCCCATTCTCCTCAGAGGACGAACTTCTGAGGAGGATCGGGAACATGATCGATGGCAAGCTGGCCGCCTTCCGGGAGGAGCTCCTCCACGGAGGTGCGGTCGGCGGGAAGGCGGTGCCTCCCCGACCAAGGTCGGTTCGGGCGGGGAAGGGCGAGATGTGGGGGGAGGGACTCCTCCCACCGTGGCCGTGTCCCGGTGCCCAGCGGGGTCGTGATTGCCCCCGAGGGAGATGTGCGGGTCGGGAAATCCGCAGGTCTCCGCGGGGCGGTGTGGACCCGGGTCCCCTCTCCGCCGCTAGAAAGGGGCGGAAGTCCGGGAGCGATGGTGGTAGGGGCGCGACCCAGTGCACCGCGGGCGCGAGTGAGGCACGTGAGCAGTGGTGCACCTCGCCGTGGACCACAGCGGTCAGTGTTACCGCTGCGGAGCGAATGGCCACCGCGCGAGCCAGTGTTCGGCGGCCCCCCCACTGCCCGCTATGTGCGGACATGGGGAGGCCAGCCGATCACAGGGTCGGGAGCAAAAAGAGCTCTCCCCCCTCCCGGAAGGGGAAGAAGAAGGGGCCCACCCCGGTTCAGGCACCACGGTCGCTGGCAGCGTCCACAATGGAGGTGGACGGTGCCACGGGGACGGACAGCCGGGAGGAGGCTGGAACGGCCGTTAAATAACGGCGCCCCGCCTCCTCCTCCAGGCCAATCTCAACCACTGTCGCGCGGCACAGGACATGATGTCCCAAGTCCACGCGGAGTGGGGTGTTGGCCTGGCGGTCGCCGCCGAGCCGTACCGCGTGCCTGATCACCCACATTGGGTGGGCGACGCGGACGGTTTGGTGGCGACGGTATGGGGAGGTGGCGACGGGTCCCCGCCGTTCTCCATTCTGGAGCGCGGTCGGGGTTTCGTCGCCGTGGACTGGGGGGGAGTCGCCGTAGTGGGGTGCTACATCTCGCCCCGCAGCGGTCACGCCGCGTTCGAGCTGTACTTGGCCGAGGTCGCGGCATGCGTGCAGCGCTGCGCGGCCCGGCCGGTGCTGGTCCTGGGGGACTTTAACGCCAAGTCGGTGGCTTGGGGATCCCCTAGGACCACCGTTCGCGGCGGGATCCTGGGCGACTGGGCGGCGGGGCTCGACCTTCGGTTACTGAACCGGGGGTCGGAGCACACGTGCGTGCGGCGATATGGGGGGTCTATCGTGGATGTTGGATTCGCGACCCCCAACGCCGTGCGCATGGTGTCGGATTGGCAGGTGGTCCCGGAGGCAGAGACACTCTCAGATCACCGGTATATCCGGATGGAGGTCTCTGCCGCCGGGGCTGCATCCCGGCACCACCGCCCGGATGGCACCCCACCGCGCCGCTGGGCGCTTCGGCGCCTGGACAAGGACGCCCTGATGGCAGCTGCCCTCGCTGCAACTTGGCCGCAGGTGGCGGCCGAGTTGCCGAGCATGGAGGAGGAGGCTGCCCGGCTCGGGGTACTAGTCGCAAACATTTGCGACGCGTCGATGCCCCGGGTCGGGCGAGCTTCTCCTCGCCGGGCGGTGTACTGGTGGTCGGCCGCGATCGCGGAATTGCGGGTCGCGAGCGTCCGCGCCCGACGCCAGTACGCCCGCGCGCGCCGTCGTCTACGACCGGACGATGGCGTGGCGCGAGCGAGGGCAGATGACCTGTATGAGGCATACCGGATGGCGCGGGTTGCTCTGCAGGTCGCCATCAAACGGGCCAAGACCCGGGCATGGAAGGATCTCCTCCAGACCCTCGATGACGATCCTTGGGGGCGCCCGTACAGGGTGGTGCTGAAGAAGCTCCGCCCGTGGGCGCCCCCCGTCACCGAGGGTCTTGACCCCCGGCTGCTGGAGGACGTGGTCAATACTCTTTTCCCAATTCGGGTGAGGGGACCACGTCCTCCGGTGGAGGCGGCAGTCCCTAGGGAGTGGGCGGCCGAACTGGGGGTCACTCAGGGGGAGCTGGCCGCGGCCATCAGACGGCTCGGGGCGCGTAACACGGCCCCGGGTCCGGATGGTGTGCCCGGCCGGGTTTGGGTCTTGACCCAGGGCGTCCTTGGGGCCGACCTCAGGCGGTTGTTCGACCGATGCCTGAGGGACGGGCGATTCCCCCCCAGTTGGAAGGTGGCGAGGATGGTCCTCCTCCGGAAGGAGGGTCGGCCCGCGGAGTCTCCCTCCGCATACCGGCCCATCTGTCTCCTCGACGAGGTGGGCAAGCTCTTCGAGCGGGTGATTGCTGCCCGCCTCGTCGAGCACCTGTCGCGGGGTGCCCCCGGCCTGGCCGACTGCCAGTACGGTTTCCGGGAGGGTCGATCGACCATCGACGCGATAGGTCGTGTCAGGGCCCTCTCGGAGTCGGCCGTCTCCCGGGGAGGGGTGGCTTTGGCAATATCCTTGGATATTGCCAACGCCTTTAACACCCTGCCCTGGGAGGAGATAAGGAGGGGGCTCGAATATCATCGGGTCCCCCCTTGTCTCGGGGCGGTCATCGGGGATTATCTCCGCGGCAGGTGGATCGAGTATCCGGGCCGGGATGGTCATATGCGGAGGGAGGTGTACTGCGGTGTTCCGCAGGGGTCGGTCCTCGGGCCACTCCTGTGGAATATCGCGTACGACGCAGTGTTGCGGGCCGACCTCCCCGACGGCGTCAGCGCCGTGTGTTATGCAGATGACACACTGGTGCTGGCCGTCGGGGCGCACTGGGGGAGGGCCAAGCGTCTCGCGGAGGAAGGGGCGCAACGCGTCGTCGGCCGGATCAGAGGGATGGGGATGACGGTGGCGGTCCATAAGACCGAGGTGATAGCGTTCCATTCACCTCGGCAGGATCCGCCACCCCCTCTGATCCGGGTGGGTGAGGCTAATATCGAGGTGAAGCCCCAGATGAGGTATCTGGGGCTGATCCTCGATAGCCACTGGCGCTTCGAGGAGCATTTCCGCTGCCTGGTCCCCCCGGTTGGAAAGGATGGTCGGTGCTTTGGGCCGGATTCTGCCCAACCTGGGGGGCCCGGCGGGCCGAGTTCGCTGCCTCTATGTGGCAATGGTTCAGTCGGTGGCCCTATACGGGGCCCCCGTCTGGGCGGACGACCTGGCGGCCTCCCGGCGCGGCATGACTATGCTGCGTCGGGTGCAGAGGCGGATGGCGCTAAGGGTCGTCCGCGGGTACCGGACCGTGTCGCATGAGGCGGCGACGGTTCTTGCGGGGATGCCGCCCATGGATCTCCTCGCGCGGTCGCACGCGACGATGTATCGTCACCGCGTCGACCGTCGCACGGGGGTGGGGGCGGTCCCGGGTGTGCAGGAACCTGCTTGGGGCGAGTTGAAGCGCCAGGCCCGGCAGTCGTGGTGCACGCGTGGCAAGAGCGGTTGGCTCTGCCTACCGCGGGGCACCGGACAGTCGGGGCTGTTCGGCCACTCCTATGTGAGTGGCTGGACAGAGGCCATGGAAGCCTCACTTACAGGATGGCACAGGTGTTCTCGGGGCATGGCAGCTTCGGGAGATACCTGTGCCGGATAGGGAAGGAGCCGACGGCGCGTTGCTGCCATTGTGACGCTGAGCAGGACACGGCGGAACATACCCTCGAGGTATGCACTGCGTGGGAGGGGGAGCGCG